TATTATTATAAAAATAACTCGAATTATCTCCGTAAGTTTTCTAGGGCTGTTAGTTTGCCTAAGCTTACTCGGCTCCAGAAATCGAGTTTTGATTAGACTCTGCTCTGGCTCAAGTAAAAATGCTATATCGATATGATAAGTTAATAGTTTAAGCAATGCGGTGTACGTACGTACGTACAGTGCAAGAAATCAGAGTTACACCATATAGAGACAACGAAAATAATCTATCGCTATATCAATGAATTTAATGGGTGCACAACCGGTCTAATTAAAAACCAGATCACCAATCAAGATCATCAATAATTTTTAACCGCTGCTGCGCTATCGCTATTGCTGTTTCAATTGCGATAACATCAAGGTTAATAAAAAGCTTATTTTAAGCTTTTATCAAGATATGATTTTTTTTCATTTTTTCCGAATTTTTTACTGGCCATATGAATTGATAAACACTCACTGATCATCAAAGACATACCTAATATGTAACAATACAACGCGACATAACACGATTAAGACTTGATTATGCAATATGGCATAAAAAGAAAAGGAAAAAAAAGAGTACGTACTGTTACACTCAAACCACCTCTAAACGGATCAATGTAACTGGGATTTGATAATCTACAAATGCCTCACGTAGAGATGCAGTTTCTTCAAAAATCCCGCGCGTCACACGCGGATCACACGTGTGATGCGTATCGCGGGATAGGGTCACAAATCTGCGGATTTCTGTCCGATAAAAAATCATGAAAAATTATTATTGAAATTCAAATTCCTTGTTCTACCGTAAATTTTCAAAATAGGAGCGTGGGTATTATTTCCGAATTAAGATTAATTTGAGCCAAAATTCGAAATAACGCCCATGCCCCTATTTTGAGAATTTACGGTAAATATGTTAATGCAGGCCATATATTAGATTAATGCCAACCAGATGATATGATAATGCCGGCCAGATAATTTTATCTGGGATCATATTAAAAATCCCGCGTGCCCATCTCTAATCGTAGTCGACCGAACCCATCCCTAGTTTTGAGGGAACATTTAGTGTTGGATATTGCTATAGAGGTGGAAACGGTGTTGAAAAGGACGAATTCAAATGTTTTAAAAAAACTACAGAGATGGGTAGTGCTAAAGGAATATTTAATGTTGGAAATTGTTATGATGAAGGAATCGGAATTGAAAAGGACGAAAAGAAGGCATTCGAATATTTTAAAGAATCTGCAGAGATGGGTAATACTAAAGGAACATTTAAGGTTGGAATTTACTATAGAAAAGGAATCGTAGTCGAGAAGGACGAAAAGAAAGAAGTGTCATAGCTCACCCACAAAAAATTTTACCCCCCTCGTGATTTTTATCCAATTGGGATGTTAAGGTTAGGGTTAGGGTTATGTCAGATTAGGGTTAAATCACGTTAGGGGGTAGATTCATTGATTAATGTTTTTGTGGGAGATCTACAGGCGTTGAAAGAAAGCATTCAAATATTATAAAAAATCCGCAGAGATGGGTAGTGCTGAGGGAACATTTAATATTGGATTTTCTATAATGAAGGAATCGAGTCGAAAACGCATTTGGATATTATAAAATCTGCAGAGATGGGTAATGCTGAGGGAATATCTAATGTTGGAAATTGTTATAGAGACGGAATCGGAGTAGAAAGAAGGCACTCGAATATTTTAAAAAATCTGCAGATATGAATAGTGCCGAGAAAGCATAACGGTGGACATTGTTATAATGAAGGAATCGGAGTTGAAAAGGACGAAAAGAAGGCATTCGAATATTATAAAAAAATCTGCAGAGATGAGTAGTGCTGAGGGAACATTTAACGTTGGAAAGTACGAGAAGATAGCGTTCGAATATTATAAAAAATCTGCAGAGATGGGTAGTGTCGAGGGAACATTTAATATTGGATATTTCTATGATAGAGGAATCTGAGTCAAAGAGGACGAAAAGAAGGCATTTGAATATTATGAAAAATCTGCAGAGATGGATAATGCCAAGGGAGCATTTAATGTTGGAAATTGCTATAGAGGAATCGGAGTCGGAGCCGAAAAGGACGAAAAGAAGGCATTCGAATATTTTAAGAGATGGGTAATACTAATGGAACAAATAATGTTGGAGATTGTTATAGAGAAGGGATCGGAGTTGAAAATAACGAAAAGAAGGCATTCTAATATTTTAAAAAATCGTTTGATATGGATGGTGCTAAGGGAACATTTAATGTTGGATATTGTTATTATGGAGGAATCGGAGTTGAAAAGGACGAGAAAAAAGTATTAGAACATTGTAAAGATCTGCAGAGATGGGTTTACAGAAGGAATATCACGAGTCGGTTATTTTTATCGAAATGGCATTGGAGCACCAATAGACATATGATTGGTTTCGAATGGAAAAGGGTAAATTTCACGAAATCGTCAAATCAGAATATGAAGGCCTTATATTGACGGTGATATAAAAATGTTATTAGATGATAATAAATACCAATTAGCTTGGATTCCTTGCAAGTTTAAAAATATTGAAGTAATCGGAAAAGGTGGTTTTGCGACTGTATATAGAGCTGAATGGAAAGCACTTTCACCGTTTTTCATGTTGCACTTAAAGAATTTTATGAAAACGTTATTTAAATGAGGTATTTATTTTATTTAAATTCAATATATTTTATTTTATATATTCTTTTTTACTGAAATAAAATAATGTTTCAAAAGTTAAAAATGTATTGTGAAAACGGAGTTGAAAATCCTTCGTTTATAAAATGGTATGGTATATCAAGAAACGAAAATGAAACTACATACTGGTATTAAAATACGCAACATTGGGTTCTTTGCGTCAGAATCTTGGATCTATATCGAAAATGAAATGGAAAGATAAGCTAAACTTGTTATTTAGTATAGCTGCTGACCTTAAGGCAATTCATTCCCAAGGAATTTTTCATCGAGATCTGCATATTGCAAGATAACTGCATAGTGCGTACATCGCAGAATTGAGTCTTTCGATCCAATATATAAAACAAGAGGATAGTGAAATTTATGGGGTTTTATCTTACATTGCATCAGAAGTTTTAAATAGAAAAAAATTTACTATAGCGCATCTGATATTTATTCTTTTGGTATCATCATGGGAAATATTACATGCTAAATCTGTATTAAATTAGATGATGCTTTGGGCCAAACGATAAAAATACTTAATGGCTTCAGACCGCCAATTAACGAAGAATCTCTACAGTGTTATGTTAACTTGGTGGGAAAATGTTGGGATAAAGATCCAAAAAATCGTCTATCAGCAGAGGAACTCTGTAAAGTTTTTAAAAAATGGCGAGATGACGAACAAATTCTTACAGAACTAAACGAATTCGAACCATCAACAGACCCTTTCAGAGTCAAACCTAACAATATCTGAAGATCAAATGATGAAGCTTTTAGTGGAGGCAAGCTGATTTCTATTAACTCAAAATTTCAAGATTTAACAATTAGTTTACAGAATTTCAAAATTTAATTAAAAAATTTTTCAACATGTCAAATTATGTGCAAAACAAATGAATGAGTTTGAAAATAATAAAAAATCATGTATTGAATGCTTGTCCCGTGTAATAAATCAAAAAAAAGGAAACTTCAAGAGCAGGAGATGATGCTTGTGAAATGCAATAGAGTGCTATAGAATCTGAAGATCTCAGGACATAATTTATAAAAACTATGGATAATACTGAGTAATAAGACGCATGAATGAATCTTAATGTAATTATAAATCTTTCATAGTGAATTGAAAAATTAGGAAACAACATCGATGAATCACATACAAACTCAATAGCAACTGAAAGTAATGCCCTGAGATAAAGGTGACGGACACTATTATGTTTATAACATTTTAAGTATATACAATTTAAATACCACGAAATTCATATTATCCATTAATTGAAGGAGCTGAAAAAACCCATATATCACTTGATAATACACAACTTTTTATAACAATAAATTCAAGTTCTTGAAATTGATAGTATTGCAGAAAACAACGAATCAAATAAAGATGAAGCTGATTGAAAATTATTAAGCAGTGTAAAAAAACTTTTATAGATATAGCTTATTTATTATTTAATCGAATTAATTACACAGCATAATAAATAAAGGTATATAATATTGATACCGCTCTGATATAGGCGTTTGACCTTCTTGAAAGTTTTATAACTTCTGCAGCAAAAGAAATGGTTGAAAACATTGAATCAAATCTCGAACAAATCAGAAACAACATAAAAAATTTGAACCATTGCGGCGAATTTATGAAATACCTCCAAAAATTGAAAATTTTGACCACTAATATTTAATATGTAAATACTGATTTTGGTTGAGATAATCAATGTTTCCCAGGATAAGGTGCGTCGTTATAATAAATTGATATATCTAATGAATGCGTCATGAGTGGGAAGATGGATTAAATGCGTTATCAGTCTAGATCAGAGGTTCAAAAATTTTTTTCGGGTTGATATTGATTTATTAATACGTGTATGTAATTTGGGGCCAAAACTCCGATTTAGTGACCAAATTTTAGCCAAATTTCATAAATTCGCCATGATGTCCAAGCAAAATCTTCCCAAAAACATGGTATAAAAAAAAAACAAAAATACTTTTTATCGGTAATAAATTCGAAATTCGTAAATGCGTAGTTCATGTTATAGTATGTAAAGTTATAAAAATTATATAATTAAAATTTTTAAGTTTTATAATATCGATATATAATGCGTCAAAAAATGTCGTTAACCTGCTGGTTTATGAGATCTGGCTGTGCGTTAGATTTTAATAACTGACTTTGGTGATTATGCGGGTTAAAATAACTTTAATCCAGTACAAACTTCTTATATATGATATAGAATAACTTAAACCCTTTTTTTTTCATAAAATTTAAACATTACTGCAACTATAGTTTTTTTATTATATAAACAAAAAAAAAAACTTTAATTTTATAATATTCAAATAGATATATTTATAATTATTCTCAATGCAACATGTTGTTGCTATCAATTATTCAACAGCCCATTTATTAACCCATTCTTTACCTTTTTCCAAAATTTCATTAATCTTTTGCTCATCGCCACCAACTTCTTTTTTCAAAACCTTTTTCGCTTTTTCATAACACATTTCACATTCATCTTTAAATGTTTCAAAAATTATAATTTCTAAATATGCCAGTGCTAATGTCAAACATAATACTTTTTCATTTTCAATTCCAATAATTTCAAAATCTTTAAAATCATTTTTACCAAACCAAGAATAAAATTTAGCAGATGGTAAAAATGATCCATCAAATGATTGAAAATCGAGAAAATTATAAAGTGTTTCAATCTTTGGAGGCTTCGATTTTACTGAGGTAGCTGATAAAACTGTCGCAACTTGATTAATCTCATCTGAATACATATACGTGTATATTTCATCAGAAATGACCTTTCCACGGGCCGCACCTGTTGATATTAACAACTAAATTAAATTGCTGTCAATTACAGAAATTGAATATGATAAATTATAACTTACAGGCCAAATCTTTCACAGTTTGAGATTGACGCCTAGCACTACGAGCACGACGTGTAATTGATGCTGATGTGGTTAACGGAGCACCAGCGCTATCTTCTAGTGCTCCTCTTGGTGGCCGACGTCGTTCTGTTGGTGGTGGTGATGGAGATTCAGAACGTCGTACTGTTGGTGGTGGTGATGGAAATTCAGAACATCGTATTGTTGGAAATTCAGATGATTTTGATACAGCCACTAAATTAATGTCTCTTTCATCAATTGCAAGAAAACTAATTATATTGAAAAAATGTTTATTTTGTTTATATCAATTGTAAAGCAATGCATTAAAAAATTTCATAAAATAAATAAATAAATAAAATACCTTGTATGTTTAGAAGCCAAGCTATATGTTACACCCAAATTTACAACTTGTTCACGAATAAGTGAATTTGGTATAGTTTTTCCACTATTACTTTGATGCTTATGAATAAATGAAGTTCCATCTTCAAGATCCTGAATAAGCTTTCTAGCAGTAAGTGTATGAATTTTTGATCCTTGTAAAATTACAGGATCCAATGTAATAGAAAGCTTCATAGGGCCATCATTAGAGATTGCACTCAAAATAATTTCTTTGCAAAGCTCAATTCCTTTTTCTAAAATACAATAAACTATGAACCGAGTACCAGGATAAATTGGTGGAATTAGAAATGGTGCTTGTTGAATTTTTATGTCCGTAAAGATGTCTTGAGTGGCTGGTGGAGGTGTAGCATTATCGCTATAGAAACTAATAATTGGCTTATCGACAGGTTTAATTTCTACTGGTGAAACATCATCGAGGATCTGGTTTGTCCAAGTAATATTATAATCCTTAATAGGAGGCTTTATGGCATTTTTTAGCATTCCAATAATCTTTTTATCCATTCGTTCAGTATATGTAACAAATTGTGCATATCCTTTACCAGCACGGGAAACAGATTCAACCAAATGATGAGAAACTGAATTACCAATTCCAATTGAAAAAAGTCTTAAGTCATCCTTCTTTTTTTCTTCACTAGACTTAATAAGCTCTACAATTTGATCAACATTATAAACTTGACCATCAGTAAGAAGAAAAACGGAAGTTGGCATATCTTTGCTTGAATTTTCAAAAACCCATTTTAATGGATTATAAATTTCGGTTCCACCATAATTTGCATCCATTTCTTGAGCATGTTTGAGAGCTTTTGAAAAACTTCCTTCAGTATAAGGTTGACTCTTTTTAAATAAAGAATCAAAACGGGATCCGAATGATATCACATTAAAAAAACAGTTTTCAGGTAATGAACGAAGAAGCAATTGGAGTGCTTCAGATGCTTTCTTAATAGGTCCACCTTGCATTGAACCAGATCTATTACCATAAAATTTATTAATATCATGACATGATAACGTTTATTATGTATCTTTTGAAATTTACCTATCAATTACAAAAATTAATTCGGACATTACTTCATTAATAGCAAACTTTGGTACTAAAGTTAGCATAACACAATTAGTTTCCATCTTAGGGTTATATTCGACAAAAGCCCTGAAGTCAGAGAAAAAAAGTATTAATAACTAAAGATAAAAAATTATAATTCGGTATTATAGTTACAGTAGATTAAAAAATATAATTACCTTGGTTGATCGAGACCCAGACTTTTAACAACAAGTATAAAATCTTTTTCTAAAAAAGTAATTTGCTCGGCTAGAGTAACCTTTGAAACATTTGGATTACCATTAATATTTAATTCTACCGAAATATGATGAGATGGTGATTCGATATTTTGAATAACAGAAGTCATTCTACATGTAATAGCAAGCTTTAAATAGTAATCAGTCTTATAAGTATAAGACACTAGATCAGGAACAGGCTTTTTCCAATCATTTAAAGAAAAACCGAATGAACCGTATCGTGGAGCGATAACAGTAGGAAAAACAAACCGAACATTTTCCGATTCAGCATCATGTTTTAGTTCGGTTACATAGGTAATTCTGATAACAACAGTTTGACCAGCTGTGATATTACCAATGGAGCATTGAAAAATATCCGGGAGTTGTTCTTCAAGTAGATAAGCCCCATGACCTTGCTGTGTAAATAAATAATTACAGATTATATGTGAAAAAAAGCGTATGTATGGTATGAAAATTTAAATATGGTTACTTAATGTTACCTGAATAGCTTCATCATACTCCTTTGCAGCTTGCTTTGCTTCTTTGACTATTCCTTTAACTTTTTTCTTTCCATCAATTTCAGCTTCAAATCCACAAACTGCCGTGGCTTCATGAAGTGGGAACTTATAGATGGCTTCAATCGTATTTTGTTCAACATTTTTATAGGTCTGACAAACCGTTGCTAGATACAAGTTATTAATTAATTCGAAAGATGATAAATTATAACATTATTTAGATTGTTAATTAATTACCTTCGGCTATCATATCAACAACTATTTAAATTTTAAAAGAACATTAGCATTATATAAAGAATAAATACATTAAATATATATGAAAAAGAATCTTTACTATTCGCCTCAACAGAAACATTTTGCAAAGGGACAGGAAATGAACAATCCTCTGCAATGAAAGTGAGCCCGTACGGTTGCATGTTTATTAAGATGGTTTAAAGATTGTAGAACAGTAGGTACTCACGCCACTTTTATAGAAAATTTAAACCTACTGCGTATAAAGACTACTACAGTAGACTAATATTTAATGGTGCAACGTACACTGTACATGATACATTATCAAATTAGGAAAATTTTGAATGATAAAAATTCAGAGGATGTATGTTTAACTATCGAATTTGAATGTTTGTGTATTAGAATTTATATATCTCAGTCATCTGAATTTTTATTTTAATATACATCAGGTAGCAGGAAAGTGTGATGTACTTTGAGACACATTTTGTTGAAATACAGTAATTTGTTTCTTTAGATATACTAAACAATGTAACAAATTAATTAAAAATATGATATTTATCAATATGAATTACAATATATAGTATGTGTATTTTGCTAAGAAAATGATTCGGGACCATAAATAAAGTTTAACTAGCAGATTCTGACTTTCAATATCTTCAATGTAAATATTATTATTAGAAATAATTTTAGAATTATTTATTCCTGTGCCTATTTTTAATATAATTAATAATTTTGTTAATAAAACTTTTTATATCCTTCTTTTTTGTTTATTCTTCGTAGTTTACTTTTTTTAAAAAGTACTTTAAACTGTATAAATAATGTAAAATTAAACTGATTTAAACAGCCAATCATACGATTGTCTGCCTATGAGTGTCAGCCAGTATGTGGTCATAATTTCTATTATAATTTACCATAAAAAATTTTATTACAGAACTTACTTGTTATTGCAGTAACACTCAGCAATTGACCAAGGATGCATTGATTTGAATTGGAATTATCATTTCTGTAATGATAAATATAAAAATTCTATATTGAACCTACTCACTATTATAATGTGTGATTTGATTAAGGATGAGACAGTTTTAATTGAATTATTGTAATTTCTATTGTAAATTACTATAAAGATTTCACTACAGAACCTATTTGTTATTAAGTATGAATTATTGTGATTTCTATTGGTGAATAACTGTAATCTTTCGTTACTGAACCTACTCACATAACTGTGATACCCAGTATGTGGTTAGTTCAAATTGGAATTGTTGTGATCATTATCTTGATTTACTGTTGAAAATCTATTATAGAACCTACTCACTATTGTGTTAACACCTGGTAAATGATTAAGGTTGAATAGTTTAAAAATTTTGTTATAGAACTTGCTATTACTAGTATGTGGTTAAAGAAGAGTTAGTTTAGATTAGAATTAACATAATTTCTATCGTGAATTACCCAATATTGATATGTGGCCAAAGTTGGGTTAGCTTGAATTTGAATTGTCGTCAATGATGACAAACATGTTAGTGTGTCAATAATGAAGATCATAATAAAAAGAATGAAACTGCTTGAACAATAAATTACCAGTATTTCTTTAATATTATAAAGTTTTGATAAGCCAGTGAAAAAATGGTGGTTCGGATAAAAGTGATTGAAATGATAAATGTGGTTAAATATTTTTCACTTTTCTTTGCCTCAATAAATTACATGTTCTATACCTAATGACAAGCTTGTTTATGCTTTCTGCTAATTAAAATTTAATTCCCAACACATTTTTGGCACATTTGACATATTGAAAATGTTCTTGTACTGACTGGTTGGACCAAAGCAGATCAGATCAACTCAGTTAGGTTATAGCATAGCAAGAACAATAGACTTAACACAACGCTTTTAACTTTGTGATTTAGTGGATCTTTTTTGCCAAAAGATCTAATCCAATCAGTGAAAGCAAAGCTGTGTTTTAATATCAACAAAGCATCAATTAACAACTATATAATCGATGATAATCTAATCGATTGCAAACATTATGCATCGATTAACAACTATATCAAGATTATAATCGATGAGAATGCAACCGATTAGCAACTATGTAATATCAATTATCAGCGATTTTTTTAATTGATGGTAATCGACCCTGCAGCTAATAATTGATGCTTATCCTATTTAAAAATTTCCCAATGAAATTCTATTGAACAGTTGTCAAGAAATTTTCATTTAAAGTTGGAAAATTTTCTGCCGCGGCTATTTTTTTGAGGCGTTGAAAAATTTCCCAAACTTTGAACGAAAATTTCTCAACAACTATCAAATTGAATTTGATGAAATTTTTTTTAAATAAATTCTACTAATTCGCAGAATCTTTCAAAAAAATTTTCATCGAATTCTATTGGTCCAAAATTAAGAAAAATTCTACTTCGATAGTTTGACGTATGTTGTATATCACGTGATCGTCGGTACGTTAGGGTATTCAATAACCTAATTGATCAAAACATAGAGTCATTAAGTTCGGATTTTTTTAAAGGGTTATTTCACATATGAATTTATATATGAATTTGTACTAATTTAAGTACATTTTTCTACACAACTAACAAACAAAATTGTATCATATATTTTTTTTAAACTGTAGCTCTAGATTAGTTCTACATTGAAATAGAACCGGTTTTTTTTAAAATAACCGGTGTTAATTATTAATAAAAATCAAAGCAAAATTTTATTAAAAGTTATTAAAAAACCGGTTCTATTTCAGTGTAGAGCTAGTCTAGAGCTACAGTTTAAAAAAAAAAAAATATGATACAATTTTGTCTGTTAGTTGTGTAGAAAAATTAGTACAAATTCATATATAAATTCATATGTGAAATAACCCTTTAAAAAATCCGAACTTAATATGTTTGATCAATTAGTTTATTGAACACCCTATCGGTACGTGCAAAAATCACGTGGCCTGTACGTGTCCGTAGACTTTCCGCTATTTAATTGGCCAATAATGAGTTTTATTTATGACGTATGCAGGCCAAGAAATAGTACGTATGCATTTGCAGAATAAAGAACATGCATTTATTTATTAAGCCCGTTATTGGGCCAGATAATTAATATGCATTTAAAGAGGCTATACATTTAAAGGGGATGCATTTAGAGAGGTCTGACTGTATTTATTCTGTAGTGCCATAATTATACCTTGACGTATTACCATAAATATACTATGTTTTGCAGTTCTAAAAGTTAGGACTCATTGGTTTCTCGCATTAATTTTCTGTATTAATTTTTTTTACCCCCCTTTTGGCATAATTGCTTCTGGATGCTATTGTCATTCTTTCTGCAATAATTTAAACACTGTACTGTATTTCATTAAATTAATACATCTTATGTAACAATAATTTTTTCAAAAATTTATTTATAAATTAAAGCGTATTTCATGAATAAAGCATGATACTTGAATAAAAGTTAATGATGAATAGACAATTCTTCAATTCACTCTTTATTATTTTTCTCATTCATTTGTTAGCA